GGCCCCCGCGCTCACCTGCGCTCCTTCTGCCGGTACATGTTGAGGCGGCGGATGGTGGCTCGGTCCCGCATGTTGTTTCCTCCCGCGCCCCCCACGCGATCTGCGGAGACAAGACAGCGTCAGGCCAGGCCCGGTACGGCCCGGTACGGTACGGTACGGCCGGGCCCGCGGCCCCCACACTTACCGGGGTTGGTGCTGGCGCGGGAGGGATTGATGGTGCTGCGCCCCTTATAGCGTGGCTTCACCATGGTGCTGAGCGGAGCCCCCTGCGCGGGGCGGGACAGCGATCACGACCGGACCGGGGGGAGCCGAGAGGCCGCTCCGCCACACGCGCCGCACCGGGCAGGAAGCAGCGGCACAGGCACTTCCGGCGTGAGGGCGAGCGGCATGACGTACTTCCGGCGAGTCGCTCGGCCGGCTGCGCAGGCGCATCGGGTTGCCCTGACAACCACGTCGGGCCCCGGTCGCCATGGCAACGCGTGGGGCTGTCCCGGGCCCGTTCATAGAATCATAGAATCATAGAATGGTCTAGGTTGGAAGAGACCTTTGGGATCATCGAGTCCAACCATCTCCCCTACTCTACAAAGTCCTCCCCTACATCATGTCCCTTAGCACTGCATCCAAGCGGCCCTTAAACACAGCCAGGGATGGTGACTCCACCCCCTCCCTGGGCAGCCTGTTCCAATGCCCGACCACTCTTTCAGTGAAAAATTCTCGGCCTGTTCCGCAGGGCCCTCCCGGCCCCTCCGGCCTCCTGGGGCTCCCGGCCGGAGCACTGGCCGCGGGGAGGGCGAGGGGCGGCGGCCTCGGGGCCTCCTCCGGCCCCGGCAGCGCGGGGAGCAACAGGCCGCTTCATGGGGGAGAGGGCTGGAATAAGGAGGGTGCTGGCACAGGAGCCCTCATTGTTTGTGAAATGTTGTTTGTTCACAGAGACATAATGAGAATCATTTGGGAGGTTGGCGGCCGCCCGTTCCCCTTCGCCGATGGGCGCGTGTGGGCAGCGCTCCGGGGTGCCGGCGGGGGGGTGCGATGGGGTGACAGGGCGACCCTGCTGGGCACACTGGGCTGGGGGCTCAGGGTTACCGGCAAAGGCTTTTTAAAATCAGAAATAACAACACTGGCATTTCTGTGTGCATGTAAATTGTTGCACGGAGAGTGGGGAAACTAAATCAAATTTGGGCAAATTATATGTCTTGAGACCAAGCCGATATTATGTTACTGCCAGATTTTAAGAGACATTGGAAGGATCCTCACCTTGGGGGAATGAACGAAACTCCACTGAAACGGTGTTAATTTCTGGCAGAGGTTGGGCTGGGGCCAAACTGCTCCGCAACTTGGGAATCTCTCCCCGAAGGACGGTCTGGCCCATCGCTTCCGAGCACTCATTAGCAGCAGAGCGTTCACAGCTAGTTCCGTTTCCTTCTAGTGCTCCTCGTGCTCTTCTAAATCCAGAACAATAACAGAGCTTCTGAGATTTTGTTCTTTTAATGATTTTCAGCATTTTGCTTTTAGGTAGTGGATGGTCCCTGTTGTACAACAAAGCTCTAATGAGCCTAGACTCGTGAGATGTTTTGTAAGATGGCGGTCTTCAGTTTTCAGTCTGTTTTGGTTAAGCCTGTGATTTCTATTTTTTCTCTTAATGGAATTATCTGTGCCTTGGGCATTTAAAAAATACACATTGATGTGGGCATGAAAAATTAATTCCAAATTGCAGATAATTGTTTAAGCTATCAGACTTGAGGCTCATGTAGAAGAGTTTTCCCAGGACAAGTGTGTTTTCTATTAGAGTTGATATCAATCTGTCAGAAGATCCTTTTGATTTTCAAATTTTTAGACTAAATAGTTGAGTAATCCTCGCTCTGTTCTCCCCCACTCTTTCTTCCCTTTCCTTAAGAAAACACTCTTTTTATTGTTAGCAAGATATCTTGGAGTGCGTCCAGAAAATTGCTGTCTCTTTCTGTGAAAGAATAGAAATAGCTGGCTTCAGACCTGAGGTTATGTCGTGGAGGACTTTTATTGGTGACGTGTCTGGGCAAATGCTGGATTCCCACCTCCAGCCCTTTCTCAGGGAGGTCTCAGCTCTGCTCCCCCAGCCTTGCTCCTGGGGAGCCCCCTGGTCTGGGGCTACGGTCCCCTGTTTTCCGTTATAAGAAGAGATTGCATTGAAAACATACAGGAATTGCATCCAAACAGGAATAAATTCATCCTTTCAGCTGCGCCCTCCTCCCTCTCACGTCTTTCCTGACCGTAAGGACATGGCTGGGGCTGGTGTTTCATGTGCAGTGTCTCTGCAGCCGGGGTTCTTTGCTGTGTTTGATAACACACCACTCACGTATTTTACTCCACTAAACTAATTTTATGTTACTGTGTGACTCACAAGCTTCTCATTTGCCGGTGATCCAGCCTCCTGTTGCAATTTTTCATTTTTTTTCCCTTTTTCTCTTTCTCTTTAAACTGCCTGCAGTGGGACGTTGTCCCCCTGTGCAGCAGGCTGGAGGGGGGGCTGTGACAGAGGCTGCGGGAGCCGCCAAACGGCTGCATTGACAGGCCCAGCCTGGCCACTGCTGGAGTGAAATCATTGCCAATTTTATGTGGCCTCTTCCTTGTCAAAATCCCAGTGACTGTGGTTGTGCGATGCCATGGGAATGACTCACTCCCATAATTACATATGTTCTGAGGGGTTATTCCCATTGTATTATTAAAAACTAGTGATGGTTGATTTTTGGCAGGGACTGGCTTCCTTGTATGATCTACAGATTTTGTCAATTAAAATGAAGGAAAAATAGATTTCCAAGACTTCAGAACAAGACTGGACTTGCACTTGGGGCGCGTTTTCAGTGCGGCGTCAAGCTACTTTGTTTTGTTCAACGGGATAAAGGCAACCTGAGCCCCCGGCTCTCCCTGCCGGAGGGGTTCCTTGCAGAGCATGTGGACAGGAGAGGGCTTCATGTTTGACCTTCAGACCATCCCCAGCGTGGCCAGAGGACGCCGTGGATGGTTTGTGGCCACAGCCCTTTTCTCAGCGCAGACCAGGGCGATCGCTCAGCGGAGCGGGAGGCTCAAGGCCTTTCAGCTGGTGCTGTAGATAACAACATACTCTCTACCCTCTTCCCTCTTCTTTTTCTGCCAAGATCCTGCTGCTCTTCAAAAATCACAGAGATTCTGACCATTTAAACTGTGCTTTGGCATTCAGTTGGGTACAAAATACTCTCATGTATATAAATGTCATTGATGTGATTTATTTACGCTGACTCTAATAAAGTTCTTTTTTAAAATGTTATGCCAGTATCTTTCTCTGTGAAGACTATTGACTTAGTGAAGTCTGTAAATATCTATAAAGTATTCCTCAGACAATGTCATCCAAGTGAGAGTATTGGGGATAACCCTTTACACAATCCCACACGATTTCCTTAAAGCTCAGATTTCTTCTGAGTGAGAAATCCTTTTAACATAAACACGAACTCAAAAGTCTATCCACGGCCCCCGTCTCCCTGGGGGACAAAGCCAGGGAGCTGTTTGAGGGGGGGGGGGTGCACATATTTAACTTGACCACAGCTGAAGAAAAATACAGACTTATATTACACAGAGAGGATCAGAATATAACACAAGCAGCCTGTGTTTGGTGAAATGTGTCTGCTTTACCTCCTAAAATCTCGGCAAATGAGGTAGAAATGAAACAGTTTCAAAGGCAGGACCCTGAGCTGAGCGTATATTCCTCCTTGCCCTCTGTTCTGTGGGATGAATTACCCAAAAGCTGAGTAAATCGCCCACAAACCTCAGGTGTTGGGTCAAAGTCCGGGGAACAAACACCCGTCTGTTCAGTGATGACAACAGTGATGTTCTCTGCGCCGCAGAGCTTCTGCCAAAGGGCCTGTCCCTCTGTCTGTACATCCAGCACCTGCTTCTCCCTCAGCACCCAGACGATGCCCCAGCACGACCTGAACCCACGCACGGGACGGTCCCAGGTCCCACGGTCCCAGGACCCCCCCGCAGCGCCCCCAGCTCCTGGAGGGGATGAGGTTTTGGAGGGGGAGAAGCTCCCACTTTTTGACATTTCCAGTCAGTTGGGGCTTGACTCCAGTTCCGGTGAATAAAGCAAACAAAGCTCGTTCAGCAAACCCATTTATTTATTGATTTGGTTAAAGAAGCGTATCTTACAGTGATGCCACGGAGAGAACACCACAACAGGTTTCGTTTTGTGGGCGGAAAGAGAGCGTTCACGTGCGTGTGAGTTGGGGTGACATCTCCCTGCCTGAGGCAGTCTCCGGCGTGGAAGCGGAGCTCAGCGCGCAAATCACGTTGGGCAAAGGCAAAATGTTTCTAAATTCATAAATGACCAGCTCTCTGGGAGTGGGAATAAGCACAATTCTTGAGCTGGTTAAAAAAAAAAAAAAAAAAAGAGAAATTTGATTTGTTTTTTATATTTTCCTCCTAATCTTTCTAAAACAATTTAATTTTAAAATCACCCATACTGAAAGATCTTGGATTTTCTTAGTATGCGTTTTAAACTTTCCTTTACCTTTCTCCCTTTTTCTTCCCATTTTTCTGTGAAAAAGGAAGAAGGGAAAAGGCTAGGGGAGAAAGAAGCTTGTCGGTTTTTCTAAAAAAACTCTAGAAAGTTCTATAAAACAGGTGCTGTTGATTTATTGTGTGCGGTGGAGACGTGAAACCGTCGTGCTGGAATTGCCATGAGTTACCGCAGGGAACCCGGTCAGCGGAGCCCCCGTGAGGGACCTGGCTCACGCGCTCTCGCCTCTCTCTAACCCTTGTTGAGGAGGGGAGGGAGATGCTGCAGCCGCGGGGAGGGGGGTCGGGGAGGAATTGGCAAGCTGAGGTTGGTGAAAGGGTTACTGATTACTGCTGCTAAAAAGCGGAAGGGAAAAAACGGTTCTGCTTACATGCAACGCCGTGGCACAAACAAATACTTATCTCACAGGCTAGAAAATAAAGTGAGATCTCATCTTTCGGCTGGGAGGCTTTCAGGAATCGTCTGAACACGATCCATAAACAACTCAGAGGATGACTTTTAAGAACCTCTTTCTCTCTCTGCTTGGTATGCTGGTCGTTTATCATTGTGCTGAAATGGAATCTCCTTTAAAAGATATAACAGCTTCTTGTTTACTTAAACACAAAGTGGATGATGGGCTGAAAGGTTTTGCTGCCAGCGGAGCAGTCACGGGGAGCTTGGTACAGCCCCGGAGCCGAAACAACTGTGCAGCTCCCACGTCCCGTGCTGAGCCAAACCAGCCGCAGCGCGGTCGGGGCGAAGGGGGGTTCAGGTGTCCTCTGTTGGGACCGAGTCCTTGCCAGGCTCCAGGAACGCCCGCTCTTCCCAGGAGAGGGCCAGGATGGCAGGGTGCGGGCAGGAGCCCCTCGGGGCGAGCAGGGGCTCTCCTGCAGGCACCCCCCTGCACTCGCTGGCTCGCTCTGCCCCCCAGAACCACGGGTGGCACCAAAGCAAGTGCAGCAGAGACTGTATTCACCAGGTTTAGCTTTGGGGTGGGCTTTTCCTGCCCACCACCTTGCCTGGGGAGCTTCAGGAGCACGTCACCCATCCGCCCTGGGCACAGCCCTGGGAGACACAGCACCTCCCCGGGCCCCATCAAGAGCAGAGGGTTTTGCTGGACTCCAGAGGAACTGAATGTCTGCAGGTATTGGTATGGAGGAAGCAGGTGTTAGAGCAGAAGGGAACTGAGCGCTGATGCTGCTGAGGGTGAAGCTCTCCCCGCGGAGGAGGCAGCGTCTCCTGCGCCCACGCGGGTCTCTCCGGGTCTCTGTCCCACAGGCTCCTCATCCCACTCCTTCTGCCCAGGTGTTGGCTCTCGCAGAGCAGGAGCTGTGCTGAATCCAGGGAATTCCAGGGGGTGGCACGCAGACCAGTAGTTTCCACCGAACGCAATGGTTTTTGTCTCTTCTGCAGAGCCCGAGCTGCGCCTTCCCCCTCCCTCCTGCCTTCCCTCCTGCCACGCGCCGGGGGTGGCCGTGCCGACGGGCCAGCGTGTCCCCAGCCCGGGATGGAGTCCCGCAGCTGTGACTGTGCAAACGGAGTCACAACGTTCTGGCAACCTGCGGTTTGTTGTAACCTCTCATTTTCTCAATCTGCTGCATGTTAAATGGATCCTTCAGTGGGAAATTCCTCGGGGGCTCCGCGGAGCACAGCTGGGGTCCTGCGAGCGCAGGACGGCGGATTTGTGGCTGCAGTGCAGCTGGCAGCATTTTCTGGGATTTTCTTAAAGCTTTGGTGAGTTTCCCTTCCACAAGTGAGTCTCTGTCCTGTGGGACACCAGCCTCCATAGGGGCCAAGGCATGAACCACACACTCAGGAAGCTGGTTGTCATTTTGGTTTTTGTTTGTTTTTTTTGTTTTTTTTAATTTGAAATTACTCTTTGAAGCAGATTCAGGGCAGATACCACTGACCTCTTACCACAAACGTTTAACATGTATTCGCAATGATAAAGTCATACAGCTTAAAACACAAAATAAAGGGTTGGGGGGGGAGAGAAAGAGGCCACTGCCTTTGCGTGAGTCCAGGTCCCATGTGGGGAGAGCAGCCGTGCGGGTCCGGGGCTGCAGCCGGGTCTCGAGGCTGAGGCCTTTGGTCATGAAGTCTCGTGTCTGGGTCCTTGGCTGACTCTTCCTCCACCTCTCCTCCCCGCAGCATCCCCCGCGGAGCCCGGGGGAGGTGGGCTCCCCTCCATGTGCACTCCCGCTCCTCTCCTCCTGCGCTCCGGGGCGGTGGGGGGGTGTGCAGCCTCCTTAAGTATTGTGTATGTGGTTTGTCGGGCCTGTGGGTCAGTCTGGGAGTATATGTCTGTCTTTCTGGACGTGTGTACGTGTTGTGTAGCAGTGCTCTGGTTCAATAAAGCTTTCATATACATAGCAGCAATGAAGTCTTGCCATCAGGTGACGGAAAGGGGCAGCTACTGGGCAGGGCTGGCAGACGTGGCGGGGACCACGGCCCCCCTCTGTTTGCTCTTCCTCTTCTTGGTGCCAGACTTAGCGTCTTTGGTGTCTTTCCGATTTCTGTTCCCATTTGCATTATCTTGCTTTCCTTGCTCTTCCTTTTTCTTCCTTTTTCCTGCAGAAAAGCAAAGGGGCACCATGAGGTTCCACATGGAGCAAGCTGGCCCGTGCCCGCTGCCGCTGGGGGTGGCCACAGGGGCCCATGCCCTCTCCACGCAGAGGTGCCCGAGAGCCACCCAGGCTGTGTGCTGCCTAAACATACACAGGGAAGAAGGATCAAATCTGGATTTGGCTGTGTAAGTGTCGGAATCCAGCAGGAGTGTTAACACGTGTCTTGGTGGCTGCACACCAAGCCCTTCCCTGACACTGGGAACAACGAGGAACACACTGGCCGTGGCCCCCCCCTGCCCAGTTGTTACTCACTGCTCAGAACCGGTTTCCCTCAAAACACTCAACCCAGCTGCAACCCTCATCCATCCCATAAGAGGATGACCAAACCACCATTCATCCCGAAGACGCTCTAATTCTTGGGAAAAACACAGACCTAAGCATTCTGGTGGAGGAGCCAACAGCTCCCATCATGGCAGTGCACCGTGAGCCCCTTCAGCCGCTCAGCTGCCCCGCTGCTCTCCAGCCAGGGAAGAAGCTAAAATATCTGAAAGCCCGTGGGACACACAGCACGCTGTGCTGAGCAACACCCACCCAGGTCTGTGTCGGTGCCACCCAGGGGTCTTTCCAGCTGCCATCATGTTGTGTCCCAGTGGGTACTGAGATGTGCAGCGCATTTATGATAGTGGAAAACCAGCTGAATACTGGTGCCTGGCAAATAAAGGGTGCTGGGGAGGGATGGGGAGACATCCCAGGTCTGCTCACCTTCGGGGCACTGGCTCTTCTGCACTGTGCATCGGCGCACCTCCGTGGTGGGAGGACACAGGGACACGTCTCCGGAGGGAGCCTGCAGGATCCGCCGCGTTCGGTCTTCGTTGCCCTTCTTGAAGCCACAGAGCTTCCTCTTCTTGGAGCAGGGCCCCCAGGGCCCCCACTCACTCATTTCACATTGTGCTGCCAGATAACAAGAGAGGCCAGCGGTGACTCTCATTTCTCCGTTGCTGCCTCAGGACTTTCTGGAGCCTTTGCACACCATCGCCCCTCTCCCCCACATTAAGTTGAAGGGTATGTGTGTTTCCCCAGCAGCTTCCTAAGTTTTCCAGGCACCCCCTTCCTTGCCGAATCGCACACCCTCTGAGTCACACAGCACTGAGGAGCTGCTCCCCATCTTGGCTGGTGCCCAGAGGGCTCTGCCCTCTGAAGGGCTGGGTCTGGCCCATACCATCACCCACTCAACACGGGTAAGATGAGCCATCATCTCTGAGGGGTTCGTTTTCTCATCTGAACTAAACTGTCGCAATGCACGTGACTGGGCTGGACAGATGCACAAAAAGGGCAGTGAAAGGTGCCCGCGCGTGGCTTACCAGGACTGCTGCACTCCATGGTGCCGTTGGCAGCAGAGTAGCCTTCAGGGCATGTGACGTAGCATCTCCCTTTGTGCAAATACAAACCTTCCTTACATTTTGTGCAAAAGTTTCGACTGAAACAGGACTCACAGTTCTCAATTTTGCATTCTGGGAAAAAAAAAACCACCACAAAGTTGTAATGTAGTCTGATGTGAGTGGAAGACTTAGAGGTCACAGAATCACGGAGTAGTTTGGGTTGGAAGGGACTTTAAAGCCCACCCAGTGCCACCCCCCTGCCCTGGGCAGGGACACCTCCCACCAGACCGGGTTGCTCCAAGCCCCCTCCAACCTGGCCTTGAGCCCCTCCAGGGATGGGGCAGCCACAGCTTCTCTGGGCAACCTGGGCCAGGCTCTCACCCCCCTCACAGGAAAGTTTCCTCCCACCCCCGTACTCACTGATGCACTTGTTCATGTCTGTATTGCGAAGGCCAAAGTATCCCAGTGGACAAGATGGCAGGCAAATCCCAATTTGCCGGATATCATTCCTCTCCAGAAGGATAAAGAGTTTGGGGGAACATCTCAGGCACCCATTGAACTCGGAGCACAGGTCGCAGCCTCTGGCACAGCCCTGACTCAGCTCGGTGCTAACTGGAAGAGCAGGAGAGAGGCAGCAGTTAGTGCCCGTTGCGTGGCCAGGCTCTGCACCAGCCCCAAAGCACCATCAGGAAGAGCAGGGACCCAGGCAGCCCAAGAGCTGGAGTGCTGCTGCACCAACGCACCCACTGCAGCTCCAGCTGGGTGTCACAGCCCGTGCCCAATGCCCATGGGCATCAGCACCGCGCCGAGCACAGGCACGAGGGTCATGATGGCAGCAGCAGCGCAGAGCAGGACCCAGAAGCTGCCACCAACTCTACAGAGTCCCAGTGCCATCTTCCTGCCAGCCCCCTGCCTCCCAGCCCTGACCATCAGCCCTGCTGACACCCACGAGGACACAAGCCTGGGTGGGCCAGTGACTTCCCCGTGGTGTCACTCTCATCTTTGGCAGTGCCACCCCCCCGAGCTGTGGGCACGCTGCAGGACAAAGGGGGACCTGAGTCCCTCTGCGCTGGAGGAAAACCTCCTGACTAATCCTGCACCTCACTTCAGACCAGGCTGCGTCCCCGGCTTCATCTCCCTCTGACCCCGCTCATGTTAACTTTATCTGGCAGCACAGGAGATTTCACTGCCCCCAAAATAGAGATGTGTTCTCAGCTCCTAAGTTCAGTCCAAGAAAAATACTCAGTCCCATGTCTTGAGAGTTTTCTGCTTTTAATTATCATATAAAATGCTGATTGTTTTGAAACCAATAGCATTCTTTGCAGGCTAGAATGCAGGTTATTTTTATTAGTTTATTATGCAAGCAGTGTCCTTGTTTATAGAAAAGCTGTGTATTTAAAAAATGTATTCTTTTAAATACTGTGTTTACTACACTTCAAAAGCAAGTGGGGAGCACCACAGCGTTCACATGCCAGACTGAGAGGTAAGAAAACTTTCCTCTCCCCCTACAGTGACCCGAGACCCAGCAGTTCCCCTGCTGCCCATCCCAGCCCCATCACGGGGGAAATGAAACAGAGAGCAAAGGGGGGTCCCCAGCCCCACGGACCCTCACTGCCCGGCTGCCAGGAGGGTTTGCGGGGTCTGGACCAGGATCTCCCCTCGGCATTTTGGGTCCTGGTCCCCCATACGCAGGGACCCCAGGGGATCCTGCCCCATCCCTCCTGCAGCGTTGGGCTGCGGTGCCAAGCTTGGTCCCTACGGCAAAGGTACAAACCGGGCCCTCGCTGGAAACTGCACTTCATAGCATTAGCCATGACATCAAATTTTCCTTGTTCTCACAGGGCTCAGCAGTCCCAGTTTTAATATAAAATCATTTTTATACAATTTAATTTAAAACAGTTTTTAATGTAAAACAGTTCTCAAACCAGCTTACGTAAACGAGGGCAGACCCATGTGGTTGCTCTTGTGCCAACTCAGGCTGGATGCCCCTTGGGAGCCCTGGGCTGGGACCAGCCAAGGGCTGTCTGGGCTGGAGGAGGAATTAAAACCCACACTCCCCGTGCACCTGGGGTCCCACCGCAGCCAAGCCACCCCTTGTCTGGACACCCCTGCAGCGGCAGAGCCTGGGGGGGCACCGGGGGTGGCCGTGGGGGAGAGGATGGTGCAGGACGGATGCAGTGCTGGGCAGGCGGGTGGGGAGCGATGCACGGCTCCTGCTAATGCACTCCCTTCCCTCTACTGCTCACTGCTCCCGGGAAGGCGTGTGATGATGGTGGGGGACACGGAAGCTGCCAGCACCGGTGGGACACACCGCTGCCTGCGGGGACAAAGGCCATCAGGGGCCGTGGCAGCCGTGGTGCTGCAAGAAGGGGGGAGGCCGACCCCATCCTGCTCCACAGAGCAAACTCCTCTGGCTGCGAGCGCTGCCGTGGGCATCAGTTCACCCCAGTGCCACAGCCCCCACAGTCCCTGCCCTGACCCCCCACCTGTGGGGCTGCTCCTCCCTGTCCCTGCCCGGCTCTGCCTGCGGGCACTGGGGCAATTGCCTGCGGCTCGGGGCTGCGGCAGCTCCAGCGGGACAGGGCACATCCCCGCACAGCAGTGGGGACTTGGGGAGCTTTGAGGACACACGGGGCACCTCAAGGCTCTGCCCAGCTCTCTGTGTCAGTAAACACATCCACCATCTGCACGAACCGTACAGCATCACGAGAAGAAGTAGAGAAGAAAAGCGTTTCATACATACTTCGTCTTTGCCTCTTGCCCTTCACCACTTTGCTGCTGCCTGTTAGATCCATCGAGCTTAGAAAAACCACCACCACAAACAGTCCAAGCTGCATAGTAACTCTCCAGCGCTGCAGCCCCTCCGTCGCAGGGTGGTCGGAGGAGCCCGCTCCACAGCTGGGGATCTCTCTGCTGCTGCTAAAAGGTCTCAGGCGGGATCAGAGCCGAGAGTCTGTGCGCGAAGCCTGGTACGGGACCATATCCACAAACTACATCAGCAACAGCCAGCTTAGGTAGCAGGTAACATGGCTCTACCTTCATCCCCGTAAGGAGCGCAGGGGCTTGGCTCTAGTCCCATCTGGGGGCTCTGGCAGCCAGCGTTAGCTGCTCGCAGTTTCCAAGTGCGCTCGCAGGAACTGCAAAGGAAGAGGAGAAGAGATTAAGTCGCCGGTCGACATCGCTGCTGTAAGGGCTGGGCTCGGCGCGGCGGTGCCTGAGCACGGGAGCCATGGGGTGAACCGGGGGAGCAGCACGCAGGGGGTGCAGGCAGACAGCGACTCGCCCTCCAACCCCATCCACCGGGCACCCCGAGGCTCAGTGACAGGGAGCACACGTAGAGCTGCCTAAGGCAGCTGTGCCATCTGCCGATGCTGCCTACGGTTAGAGCTGTAACGTGTTTCAAACAGTGCCAGTCCCCCTCAGCCGCCCCTCTGCGAGTAGCAGATGGCCTCTGCGGGCTGCCAAGCGCACAAGATGTTTCCCATCAAGTGGGCACCTCTGGGGCTGGTAGAGAAGCCGAGCCGCAAGCGAGCCTGCAGTCCCCAGCCGGAGCCAGGGCTGTCTGGGGACGGGGCGGGATCGTCCCAGGAGCTGCCCAAAACGCTGCATTTCTGCTCAGAGGGAATTTCCAAACCTCCCAGCTCCCATTGCCCCGGAGCGGCAGGGAAGGGTCAGCGCTGCCAGTGTGGGCAGAGGCAGCGCCGAGCGGGGCTGAGGGCAGGAGCTGCTCTGCCCAGGGCTCTGTTGTGGCCCTGGCAGCGGAGGAAGCGCGGCGTTCGGCAGCCAGCCTGGCTCTGAGTGCCTCACTGCCTGTGCCAGTGCCATCCCCGATGGGCATGGCAGGACAGGGCCATGAGCTGGCAATGCCAGGAGGAGAGGACAGCACTGAGAGCTCTGGCACCACCAGGCAGGGCCATGCTCTCCTCTCTGCAGCTGGCAGAGCCAAGCCCAGCCAACGGCTGCCATTGTGCGGGAATAAAGGCGACAACATTCACTCTGTGAGGTCAAATCAAACAGAAAATGGTTTTAATCCCTTTATAATAACTGCACAATCACCGATGCCCCAAAAGGCCAGTGGCAACGGGACTGGAATGAAGCCTGGCCACAGCCCGGGTGCTGCCAGTAGAATGGCCATGGGCCCCAGGCTGCTGGCCCCCTCCCATGCCCACTGTGAGATGGGGGACCCGCCAGGGGCTCCGCTGCCCCAGCCCAGCATTAGGGTGGTTACAGCCATGGCAGCAAAGCACCTGAAGGGAGAGGGCTGCTCCCAGCAGCGGGATGGCACCATCCTGAGAGAGACCTCACCCGGGTGCCGCCGGGCCTTGTGGCAGCACGTGCCTCAATGCCGAGGTGTGTCCCGGCGCGGGCACCTCATGGCAGCGTTTGCCCACGTGTGCCAGCGAGGCCCGGAGGCCACCGGGCGCTGCCATCGTCCTCCTGCCCCGGTGGCTTTGAACTTTTCACCGTGTCCCTGCTGCGACTCCGCCGAGCGCTGCCGGGGCAGGAGCAGAGCACTCCCCATGTGCTTGTCGTTACAGCCCGCAGCTCATCCGCAGGATTTTCAAATAAATAATTAGTCGCTTGTGTAAACACCAACTTGTTCTGCACTTCCAAGTCTGTTTGCTGCAAGCTGCTTTATAAACACTGTCAAGTGCTTAAGCTGGGCTGCTGGAGTGTTTACCAGAGCGCAGAGCTGCGCGGAGAGGGGATCCCACCCCGGCCCCGCAGCCGCCCCCGCTCTGTGTTCACCTGTGGGGACCCGGGCACGGCGCAGGGGGGAGAGGGACAGACAGCATGGCACAGTGTGCCCACGCATGGCATGGCACAATATGGCACAGCCAGAGGAGCCTGGGCACAATGGCTGGTGTGAGAGGGGCAGCATCAGCACGGCATGGTCCGAACTCTCCCCAAATGAGCGGTGAGTGCCAGCCGCGCGGGAGGGAGCGCGGTGCCACCGTCCTGCTCTGGCTGCCCCCTCTGCTTAATTACGGCGGGGTTTGCAGGTGAAACGCGCTCGCAGGAAGTACACGCTGAACCCACGTCCTGCAGTGTTTACACAACAGCCCTCACAGTTCAGGCACAGTCCCCTCGGAGCGGGGACAGCAGCAGGGATATTCCTAGGGAGCAAATCCAGCCCCAGCCTGCCAAGAGCCAGCGTGAAGCCTGTGCCACCGCCACGTACCCCATCTCTCAGGGCTCGTTCAGCGCAAGGGCAGGGAAGTGCCACAGGAAACCTTGGGGCCACGAGCACAAACCAGACGAGCATACGGCTTTTTCCTCCTTGTTTCCTTGCTTTCTAGACCAAAGAGAGTCTGCTCCTCTGTCCACAGCTGCTCTCTTGGCACAGAAAAGCTACTGGCATCACGGATGCTGGGAAGGCAGTGCCAAGGGGGGTCACTGACACAATCCTTGTGTCTGAGAACCTCCCCGCAAGCACAGTGTCTGCGGCGTGCCCACCGGCAGTGGCTGCAGCACAAGGGCTGGGCTTCCAGCTCTTCCCACCCTCACCCCAGGACACAAATTATGATTCTTCCTGCTATTGCCACCATCAGTCAAGCTCAGGTTGCTGCAAACAATTTTCAGTCTAAACATTAGCAGGATTTATGCCATTATCCCATCGACAGCAAGAATTTGGGGTAACCTGAATTGCTCTGAATTCATTTATGGAAAGACCCGGCCCCTGCATGTGAGATGACAGTAAGCCTTGTTTGCAATTCAATCAGGATAAATTGGTCCTTGGGAGCTCCAATACAAACCAGAAAATGTAAACCATCCAGATAATTTACCATTAGTCCTCCTACACACAAGGTGAGAAAGACCAACATTATATCCCTGGGATATTTGAGACCTAATCCACAATAACTAAATTGCTGATATATTGCCTCTGGCTGAATGTATCAGGCTATCCCTAATGTAAACGGGCTCTCCAAAGGTTTACTGAGTCTGGGAGAGAAGGACCAGATGCTTGTGCGAGGGCTGGAGGCAGGACAAAGTCTGATTACAGCAGCAGCAGTAATAAACCCCCGGGAACTGCCCGGTGAGCTGCCAACCACCGGCTGGCCATCAGCTGTGAGCACGGGGGAATTTGGGTTTCCAGGTCCTGGAGCTGGATAGAGAATTTGAGTTTCCCCTTGGCAGCCTGTTCAGGGGGTGCAAATGCGCAAGGAGAGCAGGTTTCTGAAATGCTTTTGCCTGCAGGAAGAGTCACGGTTTTGGCAGGGGTTTTGTTTGGTCCCAGCAGACTCCCAGCCCCACACCCTGGGCTTGGGGACAGGGCATGGCACCCAGGACACATCGCCCTGAGCGCTCCCCAGCCCAGGGCAGGCAGAGTCTGGCTGTGGGGAGGCTGTTTATGGCAGGAGCCAGCTCCACGCTGCCAGCAGAGTCCCCAACCTGCCTGTGTGTGAACTTTCAACGAGCCCATCAAATAACGATAGCGGTGCCCGGATATCGGAGGCACTGGGAGGGGAGCAGGAGGAGGAAGAGAAGGAGGGAAGCAGAGAGGGCTGCTAAGAAGAGCAGGGCCACGTGTGAGTGTGGGATTCATGGGGCATGCATTGGTCCTTGCTCCTGGCACAATGAGCTTCTGCCCTGTGTCTGAGCTGGGCTGCAGGGGGATAAATCCCAGTGGGTACCGGAGGGGAGATAGAGGAGACTACGCAGGGGCAGGAGGAGACATGCTTCTGCAGACTGGCACCCGGACCAGCCATCCCATCCGAGGCTGGTACAGCTCCCTGGCACCCACCAAAGCCTCTGGGCATTGTCACACAGTCAGCCATCCCATCCGAGTCTGGCCCAGCTCCCGGTGCCCACCAAAGCCTCTGGGCATTGTCACACAGCAGTAGGATGGGGCGATGCTGGCGCGGTACCCCACACCCCACATCGGCAGGCACCCAACACTCACCCCAGCACAGCCCTGCTCTGAGAGCAGAGCCCTGAACCTCAGCAGATGGGACATAGCCAGCAGGAGAAGGAGGCATCTCTCAAACAAGCAGAAGCCCACACACGCGCTTATCTCACCCTGTGCCTTGCCCTCCCTTGGCAAAAATCTCCGGCAAGCAAAGCTTCCCCAAGACATCTGAGGCTGGCAGCCCCAGGTGTGGCTCCCCAGCCCGGCGAGGGAGCAGAGCCAGCGGGCTCCGACGCACACACACACCTTCCCTCGCTCCCCCGGCGCCTGCCAGGAGACGCGGGTGTCAGGAACCAGCCCTGGGGAGGCGACTGGGGAGCGGGAGCTTCATCCCGGCACGGGCACAGACTATCACCAGAGCTGACCTTGGAGGGCAGCTCTTCGGGGAAGTCTCTCTCCCCCGCTGTCTTCCCGAGAGGTGTTTCCCTGTTGGAGGGCAGAGACAAGTGCGAGCTGCGCGTGAAACCCTCCACGGCAGAAGGTCCCAGGCACGCGGGGCTCGGGCATCGCCGCTGCCACAGGGTGTCTCACGCGCCTCCGGCCGGCAAACAGCCCCGCACATGCACATGCAGAGCCACTTTGTTCTGCTTAATCCCTGAGGCAATAAAAGAAGGCTGCATTAAGTCAAATTTCCGAAGCAGAAGGTCTTCATTTGATATTATATCTGAGTGCCAAGTTCTGCAAAATCCCTAACCCATAAACTTCACTGAAAAAAAAAAAAAAAAATAAAATAATAAAAACCAATCTGGCAGCAGAGTTCTCCACAGCATTGTTGAGGTCTGACTCCTTCCACCAGCTTCTGCACTGCATTCCCCGGATCTGCGGAGCCGTGCTGTGACCCGCTAATGGGGAATATGCCCAGGAGAGGCTCCTGCCCACGGTTGCCCCTCTGCCCCAGCCTGGTGGCGGGGAGTCGCTCCGGGCTCTGCCTCAGCAGCCCCCCAGTCCCCCCACTGGCTCCAGCCCCCCTCTCCACACAGCCCCGGCTCCTCGCCCGCCTTCTGCCGTGCCCGGCACAGTAGCTGCTCCAAGTAACGCTGCGATTAATAGTGCCACAGGCCTCTCTCCGGGAGCGCTTGTGCTTCAGCATCGTAAAACATCAGGAAATTTTTTACTGGGGGATTTCCATTACCCTCTCACTGGCGCAGAGAGGCAGCGCGTCGGTCTGGAGGAGGAGGAAGCAGCGGGCTGCAGGCTCGCCCTGTGCTGCTGCTCCACAAAAACACAGCAGCATCCGAAGATGCACTGGAGTTGCCCCAGCAGGCACAGCTCTGGTGCTGCAGACCGGGAAGCTGCCCAGGGATTTAACTGCAGGCACTGAAAAACCAGACCTATTTCTATTAGGTACCACTTTCTGTCAGTTTCAGCTTTCCTACAGTTCAGTAACTCACTCACTGAATGCCAGCCCGGGACAAAACGCACTAAAACAGCAGCAACCAAAGCAAATTTCAGACCAGAAGTTGCAAAACACTCAATTTCAGAGCAACACAGACCAGGACACTGAAAACATCGCTTTTCCATCAAAAGGGCTTCTCAATAATCCCAAGGGCCCTATTCCCACACAGCAATTAGCTCAGCAGGTTCCCCGGGAGGTGCAGAGCAGACACACAGCACAGTAGCACAGAGCCCCCAGAGACCCTGAGCATGCAGGGAGCAGGGGGGGTCTAATGCCCAGCCAGGACGTGCTGCTGGGGCTCTTGTCCTGCACCAGTACACACCCCTTCAGGTCAGTACCCAGTTCCCCTCTTATTTCAGTGCAAATGTGTCCAAACAGCAACCTTCCACCACTGACCCTAAATGCATGCTTTTTAAAAGCAAGTTTCTAGGGCTTACAGGAGCCCCGTGAGTCCCAAGCCCCTGGGTTAATCAGCTTCCCCAGGCAAAAGCAGAGACGGAGCCCAGGACAAAGACCCTAAACAGCACCTGGGGCTTTCTGCTTGGCCACGTGCAAAGGAAGCATCTGCCAACTGTGAGCTTCCTGCAGGGATTCCCGGAGCACTGGCTCTGCCACCGAAATGTCACCACCTGGGAAGCCTGAGCCCCGCAGAGCCAGGAGCAACACTGATTTAGCAGCAGAAGAAAACACAGCTGGGAACAATAACCCTCGGGTTTGGGCACGGGGCTGGACAGGGCATTTGGGCAGTGGGAGGCAGCGGGCAGAGCTGCCTGAGCTCTCCCCAGACCTGGCACAAACACATCTGAGTTCTGCATCTCTGAGGGGTGACAGCAACCGGTGCTGCTGGGACCAAACCTCTACAGAGCCTGGCATCGCTCAGGATGGTTGGCAATGAAGGACATCTTGCAGCTGGCCCACGCTGCCCAGCTGTGCACAAGTGTGTGTGGAAGCTGCAGTCCCAGAGGACCATCCTTGGAGGCAGGTTGTTGGTGGGCACGGCTGGAAAGCTCTGTGTTTGCCAAGGTCTCCGGCAAAGACGGGCACTTCTGTCCTTGGGGGAGATGACAGGTCCCTCTCCCACAGCCCCAGGAAGGTGCTGGCTGGTCCACTGGAAAGCTGTCTCTGTGTTTGCCAAGGTCTCTGGCAAAGATGGGCACTTCTGTCCTCGGGGGAGATGACAGGTCCCTCTCCCACAGCCCCAGGAAGGTGCTGGCTGGTCCTGGCCTCTCTCAGCTGTGTGGTCCCCACTTTCTCACCCCGATGCCATCCCTGCAGGCTGGGGGAGGCTGACCTTGCCCCCAGCTCTGGCTCTGGCATTCACTGCAGTCCCATGACCCTGTAGCACGGGCAGAGAGCTGCTCTTCCAGCTCAATTCTAGCTGGGGCGATGGAAACTGGGGTTTATGCTCTGCTCTGCCACTGTCTGCACGGGGCAGTATGGCCAGCTTATTTTGGCTGTGCTCAGGGGGTCACGTCTGTGCCCCCACGGCCCCAGAGCGGGTGCCCCTGCACCCCAGCTCGCTCCCCATCATGTCCCTCAGGGTGGTGCTGCTGCTCTCGCAGCAGCCGCGCCGGGGCTGGGGAGCTGATCCAGCTGAAACGAGCCTTTTTTCCAGGGTGGTTTCCAGGCATGTGGCAGTGCCGGTGTTCCCAGGCCCGCGGTGCTGCCACCATCCTCCCACCCAGCCCCGGCCCCGCAGCGGGCATGAGGGGATCGGGCAGTCAGGGGCTGGGTCATGGATGGGCTTTGGCCAAAATCATTCAAACTGGAGAACTCTTTGGGTAGATGTCTCACTGAAAGTGAGATCCTGGGTCCCCGCAGGATCTCAGCATAAACCCAGCCACCACAAGCAGCACTCTGTGCCCTGACCCAAGTTCATAGACCTTCAGGTAACAGGACTTTTTGCACTGGTGCCTGCCAACCCTGTGCAGGCTCCATGCTTGCCATGCCCTGCAACATTTGCTTCTGCCAGTATTACCCTATTTTACCGCCTTTTACTGTAAGACACCCCTTCAAACCCAAACTGCATCACCTGAACACCCCCTCATCCCTCTCCAGGGCTGTTCAAGGGACAGTACACACCTCAGCCTACAAGAAACCCCAGCAGTCCAGGAGTGACCAGTCCCCAGTCACCTGCACCCGTGTCCCACAGCACCCTGGCTCAGTCGGCGCAGAGGACCAGGAGGACAGAGGCTGAAATATCACCTCGACCCGAGCACTCGCCGGGGAGCCGTGTCCCTGCCTGGCTGCAGGAACACGCTGCCGTGAGCCCCAAGCCCTCGCTGCCCCACAGACTCGCAGCCCAGCTGAGATCCAGCAGCACTTCCCCGGCACATCAGCATGGGGTGTTAACACGGACGTCTAATTATTGCCATGATCCCTGTTAACCATTTCCCCACTGAGCCCCCATCCAAAAACCCAGGGAGGACGTACTTACCCCGCACTCTCCAGGTGCCTGCCATGCCCCCATGGGTGCCGTCCTCCGTGGGAGGCTGAGTTAAGTGCAGCCAGGACAATATTTGAGACAGCGACTGCTTAACCACCCTGTCCCCTCATTGCTCGGCTCGGGCACGCTCCCGGCTCTGGAAGTCAGTGGGGAAGCAGGCAGGGCACTGCAGCCCGCTGTGCGGCACGCCGCGGCTGTGCCGGGGCCGGCGGGACCCTGGGGCTGGTCCAGTATCAGCAACGAGCTCCAGGGAACAGATGGATATTGCCACTAGCTCTCCGTATCCCCGTCCCGGGTCTGGCAAGGTAAAAGAGTGGCAGGGGACAGCGGCGCAGCAGCCCAGCTTCCCTGCAAAGCCCCACGCACCTTGGGGGTGGGGGAGACGGGGATCCCAACAGATCGTGCTGTGATTTCTCACAGCTTTCATTGTCTGGATTCATTATCCACATTGCACAAGGCAAACCCGCAAGTCGGATGCTGACAAGGCTTGCGTTCCTCATTAGCAGCCCACATTGCAAAAGCTTCATCTAAACAAACATGCATTCTGAAACCCTTACCTCTGACTTGTCACTCCCTCATCACTGCTGAAAAGACTCTACTGGTTTCTCAGTTTTAAAAGACTACAAGACCAACTAGAAAAATCCTCGGTTCCTCCAGAGAAAGTTACATGCACGTTTCTGTCAAAAAAAATGAAAAATATATTCATGGCGAGTTCATGAAGCAGTCTGGTGCGTTTGGGTCTGGGGATTTTGTTCACTTGTTTTTTAAAGCAGGTTTCTAACAGCTTCCCAGGTTTTGCGCAGAGAAACAAACCCTTCTGTGATGTGCAGGATTTCAGCTCGTAAAGATCGCCCAGGCTAGTTCATACTCCATCAGCCCACGCTGCTCCCTGCGTATGCAAAGCAGAAAGTATGTGATCATATCAGAGCAATTTGCACATTAATAAATCCTGGTCTCAGTGCCGTAGACTCCATCCCCATCCACCGGCTAGGGGTTTTTATTATTATTATTATTATTACCAGAGTATCCAGCTTTGTAAAGGCATCTAGTGCAAACTCCTGCATGAGGGAATTCCACCCCACTAGTTCCACCTCCTAAGACAATATCCAGCCAAAATATTGTGACTGTTGCAAAACCCGGACTGGAGCTCCACAAAGGACCTTCCAGCGTTGCATCCAGAGCCAACGGGGTCTCAGTAAATTACTGCAGAGTGACACACCATCTCGTTGTCTTTGTAGTCTTTTTTATTTATGACAGTTAATTCCGAGTTATTACTAACATTTCAGTGGTAACTGGCATATGAAGTCATCAGCTGTCACAACTGCATCTGTTAATAAACATGTCAAATATTAAAAGCAGCTTATTATCCTCTGGAGGGGGGAAGGCACTAAGGCAAAGAGCTGGAAAGCCTGGTTATTTTTCCATCTCTGGCTGTACGGCAGGAGGAAACCCTCACGCTCAGGAAGGCAGTGTGGCTGTGGGGAGGCTGCGCTGGGATACCTGCCCTGCACCTCACCTGAGCAGCCCAGCACCTCTCCCAGGACAGACCCCCACTTCACCTGGGCACAGAGGAGAACATTGAGACGCAGTCACCTTCCCCGGGACCCACCGTGCCTGGTGGCCTGAGCAGGATCTGGCCTGGACAGCGTCTGGCAGCTCGCCCTTGCCATCCCTCCGGCACGCCACGCTGTTCCCACCTGGCCACCCTTCAGCAGTGGCCATCCCCAGCTTGCTTGTCCCCGTGGAAGAGGCAGAAGGAGCCTGAGGGAGGTGCAGGGGCGTCCAACCCCTCGCATGCTCCCTGCATGGGGGGCTAGAGTGGGGAGCTGGTGGTCCCGGGGCACACAGCCATGGAGCTAGGCTGGACCCCACACCGGTGTCTCTGTGCAAGCCATAAACAGGAGCCAGTGTCTGTCTGCTTCCATTCAGGGCCACGTGGCCACCAGCAGCATCAGGTCCCCATGTGTGACCGACCCTCTCGCAGGGCTGATGCAGTGCCTGTGGCGATGGGGCTCTGCCAAGACCCCTGGTGGCCCAGCGGGTGGTCTCAGGGGCATGGCTGTGTCACAAGCCACCAGCCAGTCCCTTGGCACATCGTGCTCTGTGCACCCCGACAGTCTCCTGGGGAAGGTTCCCTTTGTCTCCTGCTTCCCTTTGGTGCTCCAGAGAGCCCAGGGAAGTGTGGGCAGATCCCATGTTCCAGCTTTGCAGGGTCAGGGCTCACTCCCACCCAAGGGTGGGCTCGGCAAGACACGAGAGTGTGGTGGGAGGGGACAGCAATGTCTGTCCATCCTCCCTTCCTTACTGTTTAAGACCATCATCCCTAGTACATGAGGATGTAGTACATCTTCTCCCTGCTTTGCTGCACCACTCGTGCTCTCGGCCTCTGCATCTGGGCAGGAGGCTGCTGCTTCTTCATGTTCACCTTCCATCTCTCGGGAATCTTGGACTTGCCCCTCTCGGGTTTTCCTTGTCCCAGTTGCTTCTGGCTTTCTCTGGCTGAAGGTAAGTTGTAGGCTGTACTTTTTGAAGGGTGCTGCAAAAATCAATGGCAATATTTCCTAAACTCTCTACATGGAGGTTATTTGGCCATAACACAAGGTAGTCTCCTTAAAGTCCAAGCCAGTGACCTGCAATGGGCCGGAGTCAGGGAGCTGCAGAGGAGATGCACTGTGTGCTCCATCTTTGCCTTCCCCTTTTGTGGGTCAATTCTCCAACCATCTGAACACCTTTCAGTATTTATTGTAGGTGTAAGATCCACTTGAGCAGATGCCATAATTCTTCTGTTATGAGCAAAATTCTGTCTTAGCTTCCAAGTGTTTCTGGGGACATCACAGGAACATGCTGATGGTGAGCAGCCCGTGCCAGGCAGAGTGACTCACCCTGCAGTGCTTAGCAAAAGTCTTGAAGCGACAAGGAGCAGCATTATCTTCACTCGATCCTCCCCAAGCTTGCAGGGCTCCCAGCTGGAAGCCAGAGAGAACAGGCTCTTCCAAAGGCTGTGATGGTGGCTCGTGAATCCCCACCTGGTTCCCTCACTGGGCGCCAGGGCAGGTCCCCTTCGATACCCCATTGCCCACAAGCCACCACTGAAGATGGATCTCAGCATCCCCAGCAGTCCCTGGTACAAGCCCTGGAGCTCTTTGTGTGACTTGGTACGGCAGCCCTGAGGAAGAGGAGGGCCAGGGTAAGGGACTTGGCACAGAGCAGCCCCCAAAGACGCTGGGGCTTGAAGAGTCCCACAGATCTGTGTTCTTCACATGCTTGCAATCAACTCTGCTTTGCACAGCACTTGTGTAGGGTCAGGTATGAACACAAAGATGCAAAATAACCCAAAACAGGCAAGAAGGAAAATTCAGCTTTTCTTTTGCATTGTGTTCGTGTTAATGCATGTGGATATAGAAATTTTATTCATCCTGAATTTTCTTTGGCACCTCATTAAATGTCCCCGGTTTCCTACTTGTAAATGATATGTTCTGAGATCATCACTGTCTCACAGGAGCGTTAGTGAATGTGTTTTGAATATTGGGCAGATGCAAAGTGGTTACTGTTGCGAGTCTCCATATTAAAGATGCTTTCTATTTATATTTGGAGGTTTTTCACTTTCTATTCTAGGAAATTCTGAAGTACCATCAAATGGTGCTCTGGGACAAAATCACTTAGTTGACTGTAAGAGGGAAAAATCTCATAAACCGAAGATCTTGTATTTTATGCTTGCATCAAAAAGCCAAACCTTTTCCTTCCTAATCTCTCAGAGCACTGCAGCTCCAGTTGACAGCTGTAGATCAAGTTTCAATCTGGAGCAAATGTTTATAACTGAGCAGTAAACCCCAAAGACAGAGCTCTATAATGGAAATGCTGACAAACCCAGCTGCAAGACCAGGGCTACTGGACACGTCAATAATTACCGAACGGAGCAGTGTATCTGAAGGAAGGCAAAGGAAACGTGCTTGCCAGCTCCCTGGTGTTAGAAGGTATCATTGCAGAGGACAGTAAATCACACTAGATCCTGCCTTAACACCCTCCACAATAAATCCAGCATCGTCCCACATTTCTTCCCCTCCTGACAGGCAGCTAATTTACCGTTTTGTTTTTCTTTAGCTAATGGCTGTTGAGGCTGATCCTAAATTAATCCTAAACAGGCTGTTTCTCTCTTGTACAAAAAGACATGAAATGCCACATTTTAGCAGGGTAAAAACACCAAGCAGCTCCAGATTGAAAGCAGAGCTGCTGACTTGGGTCATGTTCCCTGCCACCCACAGAAGTCCTTGCCAAGCAGGTGCCCAGCAGCCCCAGCTCCTCGGGCTGGGGCAGCATCACCCAGGGCCCACAGCTCGCCCTTAGGAATGTGCTGTGAGGGAAAGGGGCATCGGGGTGTTCCTGGAGCAGACAAAGGCCACCTGAATTCACCAGTTTCGGTCGCGTTAGGTGGAAAAGCAAGCAGCAGGTCTCATCCTACACCACGGGTATCACCCAGCCTGGGCGACACTGCCTGTTCAGCTTCAGCCTTTCCCAGCTGGGCTCCATAGAATCATAGAATTGTCAAGGTTGGACCATGTCCTGCTCTGCACAAAGCCGAAGGAAGAGCCTCATCTGCTGGGTCCCCCACATCCCCCAGCCCACAGACAAAGGCCACCTGAATTCACCAGTTTCGGTCGCGTTAGGTGGAAAAGCAAGCAGCAGGTCTCATCCTACACCACGGGTATCACCCAGCCTGGGCGACACTGCCTGTTCAGCTTCAGCCTTTCCCAGCTGGGCTCCATAGAATCATAGAATTGTCAAGGTTGGACCATGTCCTGCTCCACACAAAGCTGAAGGAAGAGCCTTATCTGCTGGGTCCCCCACATCCCCCAGCCCACCGTTCAAGCACAGGCTTCCTCCCCCCATTAAAAACCTGCCATGTTTTTGGTCTGAGTTCATCCCTCTCCAGTTCCTGCCCTGTATCCCCCTCTGCCTCTCTTGGTCAGGGAAAGGCATCTCCTCCATGGCAAGCCCACCCTGCCTGGGGACCACCAGGACTTCCAGGATGGGGCTGAGCTGCCTCCTGCCGGGAGACACAACCCTCAGACCCTGAGCCCAGCCGAGGGCAGGGGGTCTCTGGGGCATGGGCCACAGCTCCGGCACCAAGCACCACAGCTTCTGTCAGACCCAGGGCTCTGCGCCCTCCACATTAACCCTGTGTGCAGATACCAGTGCCTACAAGTTCTCGGCTGGCACAGAGGGTGCATTACTCATCCCTGGTGCCTCATCAGCCTTTGATAATATCTCAGCATAAGCAAAAAGCAAAAAAGACGCTTGTCGAGAAAGCAGAAAGAAAGCAAGAACATCCTGGAGTTGTCTCCGACGCTCCTGCCCTCGACCTGCCGTGTGCTGCTTCTCTGCACCCTGCTCTGACATGGGGCTCTGCTCCTCAGAAGGCTTATCTCCTGCGGCATGATTGATAGCCCAGGCAATTGTTTTTAATAATATCTGAACACCTGCAGTCCTCAGTCCCCGGTAATACAGTTATCCCAAGTGCCTAACTTATTGCATAAACAACTGCTCTGGTTGCAAAGACAACTCTGCAGTTCCTGACAGGGGCTGCACAGGCTGTGCCGGGGGGTCAGGCACGGGGGCACGCGGGATCACGCCGTCCACAGGGAGACCAGGCAGTGAGACAGGGGGACCTGACTCTCTGGTGGGATCACCCAGGCAGCCCTCAGCTTCCAGAGCAGAGCCAGCAGACCTGGGCCACCAGACCCACTAGGAGGACATGGCACTGCCAGGAAGCGTGTCTCTGACCAGGCCCATGGAGGCCACCCCAGTTTGGTGCTGAGCAGCCGTGAGCTGCAGAGCCGTGAAAATGACTTCTGCTTAAAACTCTTTGTGGGTGATGAAGAGCAAGACCCGCATGCCCCATTCCAACCCAGACGGGGTGCGGGCACCTGCCAGGTGCCTGCCCTGAACCCCCTGCACCAGCGCGGGCAGACGAGGAAGGGTCTGCAGGCCCTGGCCTCCTGCTTGCCCAGCCTGGGGCAGGAAGGCAGAGTTCAAGTGGTGG